TTAAAGGAAGAATTCTTCCCAAATATAGGTAAGGTCAAATAAAGAGGACAAGTATACGTTTCTAGGTGATGTGATAAGAGAAGGGTGTGGAGCTGCAGGTTGGACTCTGCTTTCTCCTCTGTGAAAGGCTCCCAACGAAAAGACTCCACAAAGACACCAGAGAGAAGTCACAGATCCATGCAGAAGCTTGGGAGACTGGAGGACATATCGTTTGCCAGCAATTCCATATTGTGAACACAAGCTTTCAGCTGAACTTCCCATAGGCCCTTGTTAAATTTCCAGGTAGAACTGGGAAGATTTGGAACTGCTGGGGACAGGAGAGTGTTTCTTTCTCAGTTTTATTTTTGTTATGAATTGACTCAACTTTTCGGATCTTGTCTAAGTGTGGCACATTCTCATCTTCAGACCTTTGGTCACTGCAGACCAAATACTGTCCCAGTGTGCCTAGGTTCAGCATTTCCTCATAAAAGATGTTGAATTTACTCATGCATCATCATGCCACTGTTATGGATATTTGTAACCCACTACCTGAAATCTGAAACTCTCAGTACTATCAGTCTCCCTATCAGTATTACCTTTTCTAGTATAACCCTTGGGAAAATTATTATTTTGTGTACTTCCCCCAGAGAGCTGAGTCAGTGTTGCTGATTAAACAGTTTTCTACTAAACATTCATCTAAATCAGGACTGTGTTTTCATTTGAGTAATCCTATGCAATCAATTTTTCTTAAGTAGATTTATTACTGTAACTAGAAAGCCTCCTGCATCATATTTAACTACAAATAAATGTCTGCTGTCTGCAGTACAAAACAAAACAACAACCCCAAACCAAAAAGACCCAACAAAATGAACAAGAAAGAGATGGTATCTGGTAAAAGGCACATAAATACAAAGTTGTTTTTAAAGTTTGTTTAATTAATAATTGCTACAGTGCAAATAATATGACTCCCATTGGAGTATTTTAATGAAACATTGATTAACAATTATAGTCCTCATTATGTCTTTAATTAAACACAAATTCATGATTAAAAGAAGAACAGGTTACCTTATACCTGTACTTCCAAGTAGTCCAACAAAAAAATTATATTAAATTGTTTGTTTAGATAGCTGCTTTCTAAAACCTAGCATTCAAATTACCTGGATAGATACCTCTCAAAATGTAAGTAACTTAATGTCTGTCAAATCATATTAAACTACTTTAATTAAATTAATTTATTTTTGAGCAACAGATTTGTTCAGTGCTCTGTGGCTAATTATAAATTAAATCTGAAACCTGATCTATATTGAAATACCTTTCTGTCCACATAGCACCAAAAAAACTCTACATGTGCAAGCCCACAGGCCATGGATTCAATACTTACCAAAAAAAAAAAAAAAAAAGAAAAAGTTTCAATTGGATTGGAATGAATTGTTAATTTCAATGATCTTGATAAATCACTGCCAGATTACTGCTTTTCTTTTGAATCAAAAACCACTGAAACCCTCTGTCTGGACTAGAATTAGTCAAGTGTCATCTTAAAATGACATCTTAAAAGCCAATACCGGGTTCTGGAATTAGACTTATGAAGTAAAATAATTAGGCAGGTAGATGTACCTCTACTACTACTAAGGAGAAAGTGATTCCACATTTATGATAATTTGAGCTCTCTTGCCCTATCACAGAGAACCCAAATTTTGAACTTAGTGACTCACAGTTTTACCTAAGAAACTCCTCTGGTTTTCTTTGCTGTTTTCATAATACTGCATTTCAGTAGTGTTTGTATAAAAGAGTCCCACAAAATATACAGCTTCCTTTCACTGCACTTCTGAAAACTGGCTCTTACTCTTGAGATATAAATTTAAGATGAAAAACTGTCTGCTTGCAGGAAAAAGGCTGGAAATTTCTAGTATTTTTAAGTCATATTAAATGTATTTAAATTTAAGATATCTAAAATTATTAAATTTATCATATCTTTTAAAAATCAATGAATTGACAAGTTTATTAGTCAGTCTGTTCACTTGTTATAACAATTTGACATATTTTAACTGTAGTTAAGAATCGTTAAATGTAAAAAAACCCCAAATAATAAAATATCCAAATTTTGTGTAACTGTTTATTTTATATTAAACTGGCCTCTCTGCCCTTGGAGGAGTCGACAGCTCCTCCCAGTTTAGTGTTTCTGGAAAACTTACTTGGTATTCCTTTGAGTCCAGTTGTTTAAATATTCCCTAATTCAACCCTCCTCCACTGGGAACAAGGTGTCGTTATTCCGGAATTTCCTTTTGATTGTTGAGGCCTGTGATTACTGAGGGCTGGTCTTAGAATGGATGAAAGACTAAGTTGTGATTTGTGCCTTTAAAAGTATGAATGAGCATATATTACATCCTTCTTAAAAGTTTAATGGACTTTATATGCTTTTTTTGAGCTCTTTTATTAAATTGCTGTTTACTTTTGAGTTCTTCAGAGCTCATAGAGTAGCTAATAGAAATCTCAAAATTGCTCTTGGCATCTTCATATCAAAATGGATGATTGCCAGTAGAGTAACAGAGCTTAGCACTTCTCTTAAAAAATATGCTGCCATTGAAACTGATGAGAATATTGATAGCAATGTGGGAGAAGGAAACGGTTAATAGCTTAAACATTGCTAAAATCCTCTAAGAACCTTTGCACAGCTGCAAAGGTCCTCCATCGGTGCCCACCAGAGCCCATCCCTCCCCAAATACAGCTGCTCACTGGAATTGGGACTGCAGCTGGATTTTGGGATAAGCTAAAGGTGATACTATGGTCTCATCACCCCAGGTCTAGGGAGAAGAATGTATCCACAAGTGACAGGGGACCACTGGGGTGCTGGTGGCTCAAGCATTCATATCTTACACATACTCCCTTCTCACAGGGCTGCTCACAGGAAGATCCCTTCATGCTGTTGGTTACTATGGTGAAAAGGACAGCCCAAGAGCCTCCTCAGAACACAAGTGATGTACCCTTTGCCCATGACTCAAAGCAGTGGGACAATAGCCGATAAAAAAAACATTAATACACAAAAACTCTGTTTGAAAACACCCTTTGTAGTTTAGAGGTACTGAATTTTTTTTTTTTTTTTTAAATACAGGAAGAAAGACTGGGTGAGTATGTTCCTGATAATACTGAGCAGATTTCTCTATTCATTTTAATTTTGGGTTTTGATATTTCCAAATTCTTTCACGAATACCATCACTATGGAAAAATTCATCACTTTGAAACAGGCTTACCAAATATCAATATAATGAAGCAATTTTTTATAATTTATAATATAATTTTCAAAATGCAAATGTGAAAAACATACACTTCAGCATATGAAACCTGAATTAATTTTCAGAACACCTGCTGCGTCAGCAAACTGAGAAGTTTACAACAAGAGAGGGATGGAGAACCTTGCACAAAGACCTATTATACAAATCTAAAATGTAAAAGGCTTTCCATATTGAGCTACAATGGGAAGCAGATGCACAAAACAACAGATATAACCTACAGAGTATCAGACTGCTCCACGCTGTGTATGAATGTCCAGCATTTAAGAATTGGGGAATTACTTAGGAATTTATGGAGTTATGTTCTGACAGAATTGGGCAGCTGTTAGATACTTAGCTATGGAATAAACAGCAGGTGTGAATATCTGGGCTTTACATTAAATTTAAAATTGTGTTTAGATGAAGTATATACAAAGAACATTTGCACCTGCAAAACAGAGACAAGCTTCTCCCATTTTATACAGCTGTTCAAAGGAAGAATGCATCGAGATTTTGAGGTTCCTGTGTTGTGTTGGTGAACAACTGGAGTAGACATCTTAGCTAGATAGAAGAATTTATTTTTAAATATAGAGGATCTATTTTCAAGTGAAATATTATTTCCTAGAGATTGGCAGGGAGATATATTTAAGAAAGATTCTTTTTCAGTACTAGAAAAACATCACACAGTAAGCCATTACAAGTTCTGGCCCCATACATGATGATAGATCCCAAAAGCACTGGAAGAGTTTGAAAATAAAGTAAATAATAAATTAGCATTTTCAATATATTTTTTTTCCTGCAGCATCTCCCTGCATTTATTTCATGATCATCCAGCATGACAAAACAAACAGGATTCAAGTGCTATGAAATATTCTTCCTGTAAACTAGCCTGAGGCAGTTTCTCTGCCTGTGCTAGCACTTGTGCTAACGATACAATAACAGCTTTAGAATAATCCCCTTCGCCCTCAGAAACACAAACAATCTTGTGTAAACAGAAGAGAAATGTTCTCAAAATTCTTCCTCAGGCAGTTGTAGGCATGAGTCAACATGCTTCACACAATTGTTGTGTGTGTAGTGGACACATTATTCAGGCATTGATAAGAGCATCACTTAACAGCAGCAGCAGCAGCACAGGTCTTGCCATAAAAAAGGCTTTCCATTACATAGCAAACAACAAAAATCAAATTCAGACTACTCATTATCTAAATTCAGTAAAATATACATCTATTTAAATTAATTAGTGTGATCAAGTGATGAAATTATTTGGTGAAACAGATGCTGGTTGAAGTAATCAAGTTGAATTGACCTTAGCTCTAAATAGCAAAGATGTACCTGTCAGAGGTTGTGGATTCTGAGAGACATGAACATGGTGCACTCACATTTTCACTGATGTCAAACATGACTATATGTCTACTTTCCACGTCACTATCTTAAAATCTAGACAAGTGCAAAAATCTCACTTGCAAATATTCAAGTGATTATTTACACAAGATATAGAAAATAATAGAAAAATTAAATTAAACTCTTCTGCTTTTCAAATGACACAATCTTCTGTTCTTCTTACATATTTCACTCCCAGTTCCTTCCCCGTCATGTTACCTTTATGCCAAAATAATTTCACAGTCCTTGGGTGTGTAATTCTGATATAAAGAAACTGTGCTTATGTAAAAAAGCTATTTCACTACTCGCAGATAATTCAGAATATTTTGAATGCAATACATGGCATAGGACAGTTGTCTAGGACAGTTCAGTTACCTGGGTAATATCTTGCGAGGCCAGTGGCACTGCCAAAAACCTGCCATAATAACGTGGGGTCCTCCTCCCTGTTCCTCTTGAACACATCATCCAGCGCTGCCGTCCAGTTGAGTTCGTTTAACACGATTGTTGCTGTCAAACACAAAACAAATCTGTTACTAGGAATTCACATCCTAACATGGGAAACAACGGCTACAAAAACCAAGCTGGAATATTGAGAAAGTGATAAGATTTAATTTAACTAATCCAGAAATTAATTTTTTTCTTTTTCTTTTCCTTCCTTCTTTAAATTCCTCACACTCTCTTCTTTCAGTTGCGTTATTTACATGCCATGACCCTTGGTTTATTTGCATAGACAATATCTTCTAAAAATACTTCTTTTCTGAGATGTCACTCTAATTGCACTTCCCAACCACGAGAAGACTGTTTACAGAAAAAATAAAAACAGGCTAATTACAGTGTACTGCAATAAGAACGAGTAGAATGAAATCAACAAAAACAGGTATCATATAAATGTAACAGAGATGTCCCTTTCAAAATGGATTATATGGGAAAAAGACATTGATGAGTTATTGCTAGTATTAAGGTGGGGCTGCATGAACAGCAGTGCTCATTAGCACACACTAAAAAGGTCTTAATGTTCATAGATCTGGGCTCTGACAATAAGGACAGCAAAGTGAATGTTCGCATTTATGAGTTGGGTCAATTAACTTAAAATATATAAAAAAATTCACATTTCAGCTAAACACTATGTTGCCAGTTACACAGAAACTTACATTCATAAAGTTCTCCTGCACCAATACTTGTTTTAATCAATCAAATAGTTTATATAATGAGACCAATATGGAATATTTTAACATGTTCTATACCTTCTTGAGAAAGACCTATACTGGGAGACTTTGAAATTGAACATTAAACGATCAACACTGCTACACTAAAGAATCAATAGACTAGACTAAATAATCAATGAAATTGTATTGTGAAACAAAACACCTTATGATAAATCATGCTTTTCACCTCAATCAGTTAGTATTTAAGTAATTATTTCATTAATTCTTGCCCCTCCCCCCACCCCACCAATTTTAGGCAATTTCAAATGCATAATTATATTTGAAAAGCAAAGGCTTTTTGATGGTTTAGTCACTAATTCTTTCTTTTCTGTTGCACACTGGGATTGTAAGCAGTATTTCTTAAATTGAAGCACCTAGATCAGCAAGCCAAGAGTGGAAAGAAACCTAGAGGAAGAAAAACCTTTGAAAAGAGCTAAAGATGTAGGTATAAATCCAGTGAAAACTGTCACTTGTCATAGAGATCCTGCTTACGTTATGATATTGCAGACAGGAAAGAAAATTCATCTTTTGCAAATGGGCAAGCCAAGCTGAAATAAAACCAATTCACATTTAAGGGACCTAAGTGGCATTACAGAGCAAAAATTTGGTACGTAGGTCCACATTCTAGCCCCCTGCTACAATGAAAAAAAAAAAAAAGATAAAAAATAAGGATGGATTGAAAGTTAACAGTTTACAGCCCATTTCTAAAGTAAGGCTCTTAAAAGGTACTAGAGAAATGAGATCACAACATTAAATGTTATAAGCCTGTTTTTAAAGGTTAAGGAGAAAATTGCTACACCATGTATTTTGCAGAAAAGTTTATCTGTTTTTTTTCAGAGTAGTTTTAAGATACTACTCTCTGAAGAGATAGTTTTCTGAAGAAATATCAAATTAAATTTCCAACTCTTGAGATCTCCTGTAAGCAATAAGCTTGTATTATATGCCTCTCTTTTTGTCAAGTAGATAATTATAAGTAAATATATGCTTATGTAAAGAAGAAAAATTCCCTGAGGCACCATGAGATGTTAATTATAATTTTTAAATGGTTGCTGTTCAATTATGTCTTAGATCCTGTTTGACCTACTGTGCAATTAAAGATTATGTACGGACTCTCTAAACTTGACTTTGTGTCAGATCTTGCTTCCAGAAGTGGCTCTATTAAGTCATTAGAAGCTCTGTAACTCTACTTAGGTAGACAAGCTATTTTCAGCTTGATTTTGTTTCTTTTCATACTACTGTTTCCTGTTTGGAGGGACAGGTGCCAACCTCTTCAATTCTGTGACCAGTGAGGGGACTAAGAAGAACACAGGGAACTGTGTCAGGGAAGGTTTAGGCTGGGTATCAGGGAAAGGTTCTCCATCCAGAGGGTGGCTGAGCACTGCAACAGGCTCCCCAGGGATGTGATTACAGCACCAAGCCTGACAGAGCAAGAAGCATCTGGACAATGCTCTAAAGGAACACAGGTCCTGGAGCCAGGAGCTGGACTTAATGATCCTGATGGGTCCCTTCCCACTTAGCATATTTTATGAGTCTATGATTGTAATATCACCCAAAAATGTATTGCAAATTGTTACATCTGTGTGCTCACACCTCTGCACATAAATAGTCATATAAATGCAAATATATATCTCGAATAAACATATAGCAAAAAAAGGTCTACAGATAGTAAAATAACTAAATACTGAAGTGCCAAATCCAAAAACTAGAAGTGATAATTTTTGGACTTTATTAGACTTGTTGAGATTAGGCTATAAAGAGATAAGGATTACTAGATATTGTGCGTAATATTTGTGGGGAAGTGATGTTTTACGGTGAGATTTAAGAGTTTTATGATATTATTTATGTCCCACTTTCCCCTTCCTCCTCCTCCTCCATAACTTTCTTTTTGAGATAAATACAACAGCCTAGAAAAAAAATCCAAGAATCTGCAGTAAGGGGAAAAAAACAAAACCATCAAATGGCCCAAGATATGAAGCTGGAGTTAAAAAAGTGGAATTCAAGAAAAGCAACAAGAACAGAGCATCTTAACAGAAGGAATGTGTAATAAATCTGGGAAAAGGCTACTAACAGTTTGCAATATATTCCTATTCTGAAATATTGCAGATATTCCTGCATCCCAGAAATTCACAGCTAAGAGTCCAAGTCTCATTTCTGTAATAAACCACAACACATGACAGGCTCAACATGTATCACCTTCTTCTTAATTCACTTTCTAATTATGAAAAAAAAAAAGTTTGGAACAGAAATACAGTTTATTTGGTGGAACTGATACTCAAATAAATGATTGTATGATCATTAAAAAATAATAATTCTTGGAGTGGCTTGCTATTTTTGTTTTTTGGTTGGTTTGGTTGGGTTTTTTCATTCTATCTAGAAGTATACTTGATATGGAATGCACCCACTTCTGTGTTAACTAATCCAGTAATCAGTAAATGAGGGAAAAGGTGCTGGGAATTTTAGTTTGAATAGTTTATTTTTCTAAGTGTTTTTCACAGCTTCTATTAATGCTTTCCTTCTGCTAAAGCATACACCCTGAACTTAAAAAAAATAAGAGCTGTAAATCAAGTCCTTTTTTTTCCTTTTTTTTTTTTTGGAATGCAATATCACTGGCAATAGTCAACTTCAAACCAATACCTCTAAGTTCTGGTTTAAAGCCTACAGCAATGGATTTGAAACTTTCCAAGGAAAAGCAAGAAAATCCAGTCCTAATAAGCAAAAAATTATTCTCCAAAGAGTTCCTTATAAAATATCCTGATTCTGAATTGGCACCAAAAAAAAAAAAAAAAAAGTCAAAGCTGTAGTACTTGCAGTAGCTCATAGTAGAGAACATAGCACCTGTCAGAATACCCTTCTTGGAGAGATAGTTTATATTAACCTTATCTATGTAGTGAAAATTTATTTTCTGTTTGAAAAAAAAAAAGGCATTTTACTAAAATCGAATGTTTAGAGGTGTTACAGTCACACTTTTGTACATCTACTTGTCTTTCTTTGAGTTAACTTACATACAGGAAAGATCTTTTGACTGATAATTGGAAGAAAATCTAGTTGGAGAAAACTCTCCAATAAGCTTATTTTCAGTTCTTCTAAAAGAAGTCTTTGAAGATGACTACTTCAGAGTACATCAGCTGCCACCTTTCACATGCTACAAGCAAGATGAAAAAATAATATTCACCATCACACAATATGAAAGATCATTCTTTGTGGCTAATTTCACTGAACTCCATCCATCTTTTCATTTTTTCCTTCTTCTTTCTGATATGAGGTTTAGGGGCCTTGACAAGGAATGGATTCAATTTTCCCCTACAAATGCAATCAATAAAAAATAGGAAGCACTGCTGTACCTTCTTTAAAAGAACTAGAATACACTTCTGATGATTTATTCAATGTAGAGGCTCTGGCCTGCATGCAGAGCAGGAACAACTTTATTTGAGAAGCCTGAGAGCTATTTCGTTTATCTGAAAATATGTGAGCTGCTGTTCCCTGATGTGGCAGCTACACAGACACTGGGGAGAAGAGAAGGGAGCTCCTTAGCAGTTCACTAATCTTTAAATATCTGAAATGTATTACCTTTCCATACTATGCTTAATGAAGTTGATCCATTGATTTCTTTGAAGATAACACTGAGTGGTAAATGTTATGATTTAAATATATGTTTTAAATCAAATATTATGGTATTTAAAACTGGGAAAAGAGAGACAATACTTTTGCAAGTGCATATTTTTACATATGTGTGCAGACACAGATGCTTCCATTGGTAGTGATGCTCATCAGATAATAGAAAAACTCTATTGAAGGTATAAACTAGTTTTCTTTATGACTTGTTGTTTTACTAATTTTTTTAAAGATTATATTAATTCATGTTTATGTTAAATTACACTGTTTATGTTAAATTACACTGAATTTTATTCACTCTCCACTGCCACTGGAAAGTTGCACTTCTGTTACATGGGACTAGGAAGGAATAGACATTTTATTTTAAAATGGATTTTTGCACTGGCTTATATGTGTCTCTTTATTAGTATATGCATATACACATATATACACAAAAACACATGAATTTTTTACATAACTACCAAATATCATTTGAAGAACTGTTCTAGTAGTAACTTGAATTCAACCCTTTCAATTTAGATGTGTGTTATAAGTCAGCTTCTTCTCTCTTGCAATAGCAAAAAGGCCAAAGCAAGGAAAAGATTTATAGTGGCTTCAAAATGAACATTTTCTCCAAGGTAAATGGTCCTTTGAGTGGCATTAGAAACCTGAATTCAGATATTTATGCTTTTTATACAAAACCATAGGAAA